AAATAGACAAAGTAAGAAATTGACAAAATATTTCAAACAAAACACTCTTTTCGAGATTATTTTTTAGATATGTCTGCTAGATTTGGTTAAAAATGAATTTTATTAGTAAGATGTAAGGTGCTAAATGGTGGATTGAAATTAAAAAAAAATGACTAATGAGATTAAGATGAAATAAAAGTATAATTTTATGTAATTAACAAAAAAATAGTTTAGTTATACAATAAAACTACCCAATTGATTTGATATGGTCTAATATGGCTTGTTTACTGACAAAGTAAACAATTAATAATTAATAATTTAAATCACAAAAAAAGGACAAATGCTTCGCACATTGCGGAGCACTAGTTAGAATGCTCCACACTGTGCGGAACAACTTTGCTATGGTTAAGTGTGGATGAACTTTACTATGATTAAGACTGCAAAAAAAAAAAAATTCTAATATGTCATTCAAATTATTTGATTATTCAGAAAAAAATTATTAAACAATTAAAAATTAAAAATTTAATAAATAAAAATTTAAATCAAAATAAAATGAAAAAAATACTCAGCACATTGCGGAGCACTTGTTAGATTTGCTATGCACTGTGCGAAGCATAATACTCCGCACAGGTGTGTGGAGCCACTCTGCACCGTGCCAAGCGTTGCTTGCTTGTTGTGGTAAACTAATCTATTCTCATATATTACTATGTACTTATGTACTTGCAAATTTCATTTAGACTAATCCGTTCCAATATATTATACTCTAGAATGTACTTATATATAACTTGTCATACTTCACCGATTTTATCTAATTTTTTTTTTTAACTTTAAATCATTTCATGTTGCTTACACACAAGAGTGATTTTTTCCCCTTTTTAATGCTCCACACAGTGCGGAGCAACTTTGGCAAGTCCTCCATACTGTGCAGAGCAAATTTTTTTCCCTTTTCTTTTGGAATTTTTTCCCTTTTTATTGAAATTATTGTTTACTAATTAATAATTATTATTAATTATTTATTGTCGTGAGTTGCTTGTCATACCTTCATCATACTGGTATACATATTTTTTTTGCTATCTCATACCTTACAGATTTTACAATATCAAACTAATCAATTCTCATACATTACTCTGTATTTATATACTTACACATTTCATCATACACAAACTAATCCATTCACATACATTATACTCTAGAATGTACTTTTATATAATATACTTGATAAAAATTTCAGGTTAATCAATCAACTGATTTACTTGGCCATACTTCACTGATTTTATCTAATTTTTTTAAAACTTTGACAAATTATACTATATCTGTTTAAACCATTTAATTGATCGAAATGCAAGATATGATTTTTCATTTTTTCTCCCTTCTAAACAATAAGACTTTTTTTTTTTAATTTCTTAACATTGTAAATGACAATTTACATATTAGTTTTAAGGATCCATATGAATAGCTCTTTGAATTTAGTTGATTTTATCTTCTTAAACATACTAGTCTTTTGTGGTGCTTGTTTATAGATTGACTCGTCGAGAGAAATGAAATTGACGAAGAGCAATGAAATGAGCTCAATAATAAGAGAGAATAAAATTAGTTCAACTATTGAGAGAGGATGAAAAATGAATAGCTTATAAAAAGAGAATAAATTCACTCATTTATGCAGACTGCGACTTCCATGTCCCATCTTCTTGTTTTGTTTCACGACTCTATTTCCTCTTTTCAAAATAAATGGACTAATTATGCAACGGCACATATTATACATTTGAAATTTCTTATGTCGGTGCAAAATAACTTTGAAGTCATTTTAAAGCAAATTAAACCACTGCAATGTCTCTATTAGGAATACAATTGTGCAAATTAATATGAATTAAATTTGCATTACATGGGACTTGGATTTATTTATAACAAATGTTGGTGATTGGTCTAAAGACAATATGTGCAAATACGGTATGCTGTAATACTATATGTTATAGTTAAGATATAACATATTATACGTATATGTTATAATACAATGTACAACATAATATAATGAGAAATTATTGTTGTACAATTTTTTTTGTTATATTGCAGCAATATGCATATTACAGTATATAGCTTACCGTATATGTTATAATACAATTTGTGCGGTCATGCAGCGACTTTTTATTTTTTTAAAATTTTAATCATGTAACCTAATATTCGTGTTTGTTATTTTATTAGTTAAAAATACGCATTAAACTAATAAAAAAATATAATTACAAGAATAAGTTTAACTTCAATATAATACAAAAAAAAAACTCTCAAAAAAATAATCATTGCTAGCAACAAAAGAATCTAAAAAAATGAAGAAGACAAAAACGAAAAAAGTAAAACTTGTGAAAAGAAGAAAATCAAAGCATGATGCAAAAAAATTTGGCACTATTGTTCGAATGGAAAATGCTTTATTGATACACAGAAGACTTTTGCAGTCACCAAGTTAAAAGTATGGATCTATTGTGTTGTGTTAAAAAAAATTTTGAATAATCGTAATAAATCTTCTTACTAAGCTAATAAAATTACAATAATTATTATTATTATTATTTTTTACAAATAGCATAAAAAAAATTATTTTTATCTTCAACAAAAAAAACACATTTAAAAATTATCAATTTCATAATCACTTTTTTTTTAAATTCCCGAATCTGCCAAATACGGTATGTAAAGACAATATATGCAAATACGGTATGCTGTAAATACGGTATGATGCAAATACAATATGCTATAAATACGGTATAACGTATAAACAGTATGGTACAATTACTGTATGCTGTAAATATGGTGTGCTGCATATATAGTATGATGCAAATACGATATACTGTAAATACGGTATGATGCAAATATGATATGCTGTAAATACGGTATGCGTAAATACGATGTGCTGCCTATACGGTAAGATACAAATATGGTATGCGTAAATATGGTATGTTGCACATACGGTATGTAAAGTGCATATAAGGTATAAATGAATCCGGTTTCGTCCACTACAATAAATTTCAATACCGTATTTGCAGCTTACCATATATACTACCTACCGTATTTGCAGCTTATCGTGTATACCGATTTTTGTACTTACAAATACCGAGAATGCAGAACATCATACATTCACTTACCAAACCAAATGTCAGAAGAAAAATTTCAAATTTTTATTTTTCAACATAAGCATAAAATAAATATTAAAATATATGAAGGACAAAATATAAAACACATATGAATATGCAAATCGATTCATAATTTTGTGCTCAATCTTCAATTTTTCAATATTGAATTACACAAAATTTAGTAATCTTCACATTCAACTCAATCATATCAACACTATCAAAGAATACAGGCAAAATAGTTTCTATAACCTCGTATATTTCTTATTCAAGTATCAAATATACAAGCATATTTTTTTCTAAATAACACCATACTATTGCAATTGTAAAAATAATTTGCAATCATTTTCTTATATTATGGAAATATTTCTAGATATTACTTCAAAAACTTTCCAAAAAATTAAAATTCATACGCTAATAAAAATACGATAAATACAAAATTCGTGCAACGCACTTGACAATGACAAATATATATATATATCATTAAGTGTGAAATTTTTCAAAACCATGCGTAGTAAATTAATTCTTAAAATAATGAAAATTGCATATGGAGAGAATGGTTTAAGTTACTCCATTAAGTATTTACATCTACGTATACAATATAGAAGATTAAATCAAAATGAAAATATTTTATTTGTGGTCACACGAGATCAATTTGATAATGAGTTCAGATATGCGAACAAGGTGGCCGTTAAAGTTAATTTAAATAAATAAAATTTTAGATGGGATAGTTTACTGTTGAATATAATACTTACATGATATACGTTTGATCACATTAAACTTTTAAATCAAGTGTTCAATGTGATATTAGAGGAGACAAAAATTTTGGGTTCAAGTCTTGTCACGGTCATTAAATTAATTGTGCACATGTTAGAATTTGATAAGAAAAAAATATCATCTACATGTGAGTGGACATGTCGAAAATAATATTTACTTTTGACAATATCAATTAGCTTAAATATTTAGATTAAGTGGTCCAATATCTTTAAGATATTAACATAATTAATATTTATAAAACAAAACCATAAAGTAGTGTTTTTTATTGAAAAAACTCCATTTTGTACTTGTATTTTTCGTTTTTCTTTTGTGAACAATGCTCTTAACTTTTTTACTTAAAGATATTAATTTATATAAATAAAGAAATATATAAAAACGAATTAGATTATAACATTATGAACACCATAACGTGTCATAAAGAAGAATAAACAAACAATCTCAAACCTCAATATGTAAAGTTACCATTTCATAACATGTTTATTTTCATCATTTATTTGATTGGATAAATCTTGAGAGATTTCATCAATCTCAGAATACCATCGAGCTATTGAAGCCAAGATACAATTCTCATTTATTAGAACTCAAGAATTCTTCTCTTTTTTTCTTTTTTTTTTTCAAATATTTCGTTGGAAGTATGAATTGGTGTTTTGGGATTTACATTAGAACAATTTTCGTAGTTATTTTCTGTTACGTTGCCTATATTCTAAAAGTTTGTACTTGGGTTTTATTATGTTGACTTTTCACTCTTTTTAAACTAATATATAATAATTTATTATAAGTTCCTATAAAGGATAAATTAATTGACAATCTTTGGTGGCTCATATATGTATGGACCTTTTGGCATTTAGTTTACATTGAAAGTTATGTACCTAACTTTCTGGGTTTACATTGAAAATTGACTTTGAATCATCAACGGCCACCTTTTGGCATTTAGGTTACATTGAAAGTTATGAACCTTTTGGCATTTAGTTTACATTGAAATTTGAGTTTGAATAATCAATGGCCTTTATTAGTTATAGCCAATGAACGTACTCATTTGGAAACATATTATGTCATCCAAACTCAAAATCATAATTTTAATAATTGTTAATAGAACAGTTTTGGCTAAATATATATTTCAAACACCAAATATAGAAGACAGAAGTGTAAATTATATATCATATACATAAAACGTATAACTCCCGTTAATATACATATACTGCAAACAAAATAATTCAGACCACTGCTGCACGACAAGACCAGATAGCAAGACATGAGAGTTTTAACTCAGTGTTCTTGCCCTCCCAGAGAAAATAGTCACTAACATTAATGTACACAAATTACCAGTGTTTCACCAATTCTTGAGTAATTCATTAGCAGCATCCTTGTAGCTGACTTTCTTTTTCTTAACAGGCTTCTCATTTCCTTCGGAAGGTAAACTTCCCTCTTCGAGTTCAGAAATGACACTTTCTGCTTTCTCCTCTTCCAGGATACAAGGAGAACCTTTTGCATTTTCGGCTACGTTGACAGGATTAGTACCTCGCGGTTTCTCCTCTTCAAGGATGGGATCAGCTTTATCTGTTTTCTTAGTTGCAAGGCTAGGTATCATGTTAAATAACATCGCTTGAACTGGATCGACAAAAGTTTCGTGTTTACCATGTTCTGCAACTTCCGGTTCAACTTTTTTGCATTTATCTGATGATTCATAATCTTTTACTACCTCTTTCGTTTTAGCTTCTGGAGTGTGCCTGTTTATTATCTCGGTACTCCCATAATTTGTGCAGCCGACTTCAGAATTTCCTCTGATATTTTGTTCATCTGAAGAAGCCCCTTCTGATTCGTTTTCTAAGATCTTTGCGGGCTTATGTATAATCCGTGCCCTTGTTCTTCGAGGCTGATTAACAATTGATCTCCCTTCCAAAGGTACCTTCTGTACGTTCCCATGATTTGCACCACTGAGTTCAGACTCTTCCTCAATAGCTGGCTCATCCGAAGAAGCATTCTTGTCTGATTCAATTTCAGAGATTTTAGCTGGCTTGTTTCCATAGCGTGCCCTTGTTCTCCGAGGTTTAATGGCACCTCTTCTTCCACTATTAGTACTTGTCTTACTGGGACTTCCCCTTTTTCTTTTTCCGTCCCTATTAGGCAAGTCAATAACTCTTGGCTTCTTCGAATTTTTGGTTCCCTGTTCTCCAACTTCATCAGAATAAGGTGATGTAACCTGCTTTTCTAGATTATCCAAGCTTTGGTAGTCTTCTTGGTCAAGTTCGTGTTTGTTACTGAAGAAACACCAATAAATGAAAAGGTTACAAGATTACAGTAGATACAATTTAGTGAAGCTATCTTTTTGGAGCTCCAAGCGTTGTGTGGTAGACTCATTGAGGCAATTCTAAATCATGAACACCTTTTCCCAAAAGTAATGTCAACTCACAAACACAAATAATGACAATATTCACACATTTATGCCTGACAAGAAGAAACAATTCATATCACTTACCTTGGAGACGAGATTATACTTTTCCATAGTATACTTAATAGTAGTGAAGGATCAGGTAATCAACCCAATATAAGTATAGGATAAGCCTAGGTTGAATTGAGTTAGTTTGAGTGCTACGCAAAATTTTATCATGTCAAGTAACACATTAACTGTTTCATGGCTACTCGAAACTACGCTCTGCAATACAAGAATTCTGTACTTTATTTTTATAAAGTAAAATAGATTTAATGAGAGAAATACAGCATACAGTGAAGAAGACGCAAGATAAATAAAAGGAACAACCGAAAGACCACCCAATAACTACGAACAGAAAATGCAATTCCAGCTCCCTGGTGAATTGACCGAAGTTGTTCGGGGTGAGGTGACAGCAACTTTAGCCCAAACAGAAGCCAAGTGAAATACTCTATTAGCAGAATCTAAACAGTGGTAGAGAGTTGCTTGAGATCCTGCATTCCACTCCTTCCATGCACACCAAGGAACCACCATTATTGCTCACTGCCAAAAAATACTAGTTATCCTTGTCTCACAAATCCTCTAACTTCATGAAGAAGATGTCTTAATTGGAATGAGAAGGTATAGTTGCCTCCTTTGTAATTGCAAACAATATATTCCATGACTCCTTCGACAATCACAGTTCATAGAGAGACAATCACGTGTCTGGTTAATCTTCATTCATTTAACACAAATTGGAGAAAAACTGGTAACAAGTCATTAGTATTTACCAAGTCTTTAGTATGAAGCCTCTTAAGACTTGGTGGAAGATTTCATGTTTGTAGGTGCCTTAGACTACAATATGAAACAGGATAAAGGAAATGTCCCAGAATCTCTTTTAAGAACTAGAAAGTCAAAGGGGATTTTTAAAGGTGCAGTTTCCTGGGCAATCGGGGTTCCAAGATGATTATGCTTACAAATAGTAAAAAACTGATAATTAGATAAGAATGAATGATGTAAAAAGGAAAAAGATAATCACCTTCGTTTAAATCCCTATAAGTTTAAACCAAGACTTCAGCCCAGCATTGAACGGAATACAACCTGAAATCCATATCTTCCAACAATCACCAGAACCCTTATATTCCATAATTTTATCCAAAATGTCCATTTTACCATCATAGGGTTTCCTCCATCATCCACAAACCTAGAGTGCAACTACTGCTACATCCAAAACTTGTCTAAAAAATTCTATTGTATGATCAAGAAATAATCAAACAATATCAAGATCCAAACTGAGATTGCATCAAGGACGAATTTTTCAGTGGCGGCAGCATCATTCATGACCAGGATGGACGGTGTATCCATCTCCTTATGGAGATAGTCCTATTCTTGAGGTCAATTTATAGATTAGTTTGTGAAAGTGGAATATAAGGAAAGCTACCATATTTAATAAGTTACCATTGGTGAATATTGTAACTGATAGTTACCAAATTTTGTTATGATTTTGGTTCTATAAAATGAAAGAACATCTCACATTGAAAGGCATCGAGTCTTCTTGAGTATATTTAACATAGGCTTTTTTTTATTCTCATATTTTCCAAAATGCATTTTTCTCATCTATACATTCTTCATTAAAATAATATTACATGTAAATCAAAAAAAAATTTCTTCTTTTTCAACCACATATTTTCCATCAATCCACTATTCTAAAATGCATTTTTTCATGAAAATGGGACTCAAACACCCTTATATAGTATCAGAGCCTCTTCCTTAAAAGTTTCTCTCATTTTACTAGTTGAGTTTTCTCAAGATGAGAGGAGCTTTTCTCCTCCCTTCCAATCGTCTTCCTCCTTCGCTACTCGTTGTCCGATTTTCACTTTTCATTGTAGAATCAATTTAATTAGCGTCTGTTTGGCCTCCATTAAAGCACTTTAATTTTTTTCAGCCAGTTTAATTTTCAACCTTCTTTTTTTACCTAAGTGGGGTCCATTATGTTGCCTTCTTGATCATTTGCAATGTACCAAGTTTTTTCAAAAGGATTGTTGGTACCAATGGACGAAACCACCCTCCAATATGACCAACAGAGGGGAATGGTTGGGAAGGTAGTTTTGTCATTTAGTAATGTGACCAACACTTACCCTCCGTTCGAATTCTACTATGACACATGGGGCCCACACTAGTTTGAGAAATTGACAAATAATGTGTTCTAATGTGTTTTAATGGGGGTTTAGTAAGAACAAACTCTAAATTTCTCTTCCTCAATTCGAACTCAAGAATTTTACCTCCCCTGGGGCACTTTTCCTCTCTTAATGGCAAAGAAACGAAAAGAAAACCCCACTCTCTCGCTTCACTCCATAAGAATTAGTAGAGAGACAATGTCGTTGTGATAGAGGGCAGGGAACAAGAGCGATTCTCGATACTATGGAGTGGAGACCGAATTCAACAATGACATGCCTTATCTCCTTTCCTTCAACATCCATGGCGGCTTTGATTTTCTTGTCGCCCCTTTGATTGATCCGTCCTATAGATCTAGCTCAGTGGAGCAAGATAGATGTGGATTAGAGGTTATCTCTATTAAAATACCAGCCGAAAAAAGATGTGGATCTATACAATTTGCGAACAGAAGCAATGCAGATGATGCAATACAGAGATTATATGGAGCAATTATTGGAAAGCAGACAGTTCATAAATGGAGTAGTTATTAGAAAGCAGACAGTTCATCTTTCTTGGGGAAGAAATCCAAGAAATAAATAGTCGAAAATGATGCTAATAACCAACAAAGCAAATCTTATTACGAAAGGCAAGGATGCAATGACAACAGTTATAATGTAGGTGCAGTTTATGCAACATCAAATGGACATGGGAACCATCATCGGCCGACTAGTTGAATAACTGGACTTTGCTGATTGAGTTTATTAGGGCGACTAAATTAATGTGAGCATTAAAAGTGTGGTATGTAGAATTTTGTAGCTAGATTAAATTTTATGAGGCATAAGGATCTTTTGATTTGGGCTGTGGTTCATTTGTGGGCTGTGATTAGGTGTTGATCGGGCTTTCCTTCGTTGGTCTGGATTAATATAAGCTTTGGATTATTTAGTTGGGCTATTTTATTAGGCTTTGGACTGTTATTGGATTTATTTGTTGTCTAATTTCATCTTGGATTCTCAAAGGAGAATCATCCTTCGGTGGTTTTGGATTCTTCAAGATTTTTGGTGTATGCTGTTCTGTGGATTTCTTCCAACTATAGCATTTTGGCCAGTGATATATTGCTGGATTTTTTGTTTAGAGCTTTTATCACAATACGAATTATGTGATCGGCTGACTTCTCTCGACCGATAGAGCTCACTATGTGTGGTCAGCACACTTCGTGAATTTCTTTTGAAAATTCTTCTTGGGATGTAAGCTCTCTGAAATGGCTTTGGAGTAATTTTGGAGTGGTTCTTGGCTGTTTCTACACTATTTGTTATTCTCAAGTCTCCTCTTCGTGAGCATGAGAATTGTCACATCACTAGTTTAAGATTGCAAATTGATGCTTTTATCAGCATTAATTTAAGATGATGTCAATGGAATATAAGAAAACCTCGAAGATAAGAAAAGATACCAGATTTAATAAGTTACTATTAGTAAATATTGTAATTGATAGCTACCATATTTAGTTATAATTTTGGTTCTATCTAATGAGAGAGCCTTTCACATTGAGAGGCATCGAGTCTTCTTGAGTATCACGAAGTATATTTAACAGTCTGGACGGGATTCTTTTCGCATAAGGACTTGAACTTTTTGACTTACAGATAGAGACGGGGTTCTCTTTAGTTATTCACTATGTCACTCGCAAAGGTGAGCCATTGTCTATTCAGGACACTCTCAGACACATCAGACATCATCTTTCAATTGATCAAGATACGATTTCACATATATCATAAGGGGAATCAAGCCGCTGACTCATTTACCACTATAGGTTGGGAACAACGACTTTACCAGGAGTAAGGTCCCCTAGACCTTCATTGATCACATGCTCTGATACAGATTCACAAAACATGGTACCCTAGTGTAACATATTTCTAGTCTACTTTTGCTATTCTTCTTTTGTATGGAAGGTAGTACCTCATCAATTGCTACTTTCTTTACATTGGGTGTTCTCTTCGTGGTCAAGTTTACGCCTCCCTTCCAATATATTCTTGCAATTTCTATATATCTTATAGTTGGGACATCCTTACCCTCATCAGTCTCATCTAGTGGAGCCTAAAAAACACACTCAAGATGAGCTCATGCTTTGCTTTAAAAAAAATAAAAAATCCCGATCATAATCTATCCGATACAACTCTACGCACTCTGGTAACAAGGATTACTGTTGTTAGGTCTAAAAGTGTAATTGGCAATTCTGTGGACAAAACGGACTAAATTGTATAATTGTAAAAGTCAGGGACTTAATTGAACATTGGTGTAAAAATTAGGGACTTAGGGTGCAATTTGCATAGATGAGGTAAATTAGTGTTCGAGTCATTGAAGGAGTCCATGATGTCCAAGAAGATCAGACAAGATCATCGGAATGCAATTGGAAGTCTAAAGGATATCAAAGAGCCGCACAAATTATGTTCCGGATTTTCAGTCATAACTTGAAATGCATTTTTCACATAGAAAACGTTGAAATTTGGACAAGTCTATCTCTAGAAGAATTGTAGCCCTTTGAGTTAGCTTTCTAACGCAACTTGAATCACCTCAATCGGACATCGGACGAGAAAGTTATGATGAAAATACTGATGACTGCTCACAGTCGCTCGCTTCTCGCTGGCATTTCGCTCGAGCGACAAAAACATAATACCTCTCGCTCACTCGAGCTCAAGGGACAGTCCCATGCAGCCGTAATCCTATTTTGCGTTTTTGAAGTGTTTTTCTCGGCACATACCACCTAGACACCTTCAAGTATAAATACTCAAGCCCTAGGACGAAATTTTAAAGGTTGCCACATTATTCTTTGAGTGCATAACATCTTCATATCTTTGTTCAAGAGATCTAAGGCAAAATCAATTGGAGAAATCATCAACATAATTCTTTAGATCTGGCAACCATTGTTTTGGGGAAAAAACATTGAATCTACATAACCCAAAACACTTACTTCCTTAATCTATTGAGGAAGGGACTCTCTCATTGGAGGATCGAGAGAGGTGGATTGAGGCGCAGTTACAGGCACAAGAACAGGCGGTTCTTGGTGTTCCACTTGATGATACAATCAGCTAAAGACCAAGAGGTTGTAGTGGACAGCAGATTGGGCTGCAAGAGATAGATCGAGAAGTCTATCAGGAGGCTAGAAGTATCTACAGCAGTAAATCGCGAGACTGGAACAACGGGTCTGATTGGGTACGGAGTTTGGTATAACTTGTATTTGCCGAATTGGTATAGTGGAGGTAATTAGCTTGGTCCTGAAATTTTACCCACTTTGGGGTTTTCCGTCATCATATTGTTTGTTATTTACTGCTTTGCATAATATACAAACTGCGGCATTCCAACATAGGTTAATTGACTTGTATGATTAATCACCTAGACAACTAATTAAAGTGACTTGTTACTTTAGTTAGATTAATTCCGCACGTAATGTCAAATTGGTTAAAGTGAAATCTAGAACGTAAACTTGGTAACGCACAAAATTTGAACTTGACACTGTATAGCATTCCCGTGAACTTTCAAGTGTTGTAGAGCGTTCCTAGAATTTTCAAGTGCTACAAGCTTGATTTTACGTATCGAACGAATTTTAGTTGTTTGTATGTAAATCTCAAATTCAACATAATTTAACAATAACCTTAGGCAATGAACTAGTTCTCAACAATGTCACTTGATTGTTTCATTAAGGGTGGTAATTAACCGCACCTATCCCGCCAACCTGCAGCACACCCTTCAGATGTCAGGAATGACACTGACCTCCCTATAATTTGCTGATACATATATTTACTAGCAGTCTACAATGCTGATAAAGGCAGAAGTGTCCAGTGAAAATCCTAGAATGCACATGCATAAGTTGCACAAAAATTATATCTTCAAACATCACAAGACAATGGAAAATGTATCGTTTTTCCCCAACTAATTTTTATTTTCACCAACAGAACTGTTTTCCCTATTTCCGTAGTCCATGATGTAAAGAACACTCGATGAGTATATTCACATTTAGCAGAAGATTTTTTCATTACAAAAAGTCACAGGCAACCATAAATTTATAAAGCAGAATACTAGAGTGGCACAAACAAATTAAGCATCCATTTGGAAAAATTAATAAATCATTTATAAATAGTAAAACTTCATTTTCAACCACACATTTGAATGAACCCAAAAGTCCTATTCACTTATCCAACAATCAATTCTATATATTTATAAATTCTTCCCAAACGGAAGCTAGAAGGACACAACTGACGCGCACAATAAATTCCATTCGTACACCACACAAAATATCTGCTAGCACTCATTTGTTCACGTATAGAATCAGAACATTCCTTAAACAATGTCCACAAAATGCACCACATCAATACAAACTCGACCAGAGAAGGTTCACGCTAAACTTCAATTAAATTTGTGTAGAGAGGTATCACAGGTTTGACTCTGGTGGTGGCTGCTAAGTTGGAAAAATATATTTAAGGTGTTGATAGTGGGAATGGGGCTCTGTTGTATAGGGGGACCGTGGATCAGAGTCTGGAGTAAAATTAAAGATAATTCTGATATTAACAGCACCATCATATTGATGGTAAAGTTAATTAGATATGGAATCCTTGGAAAGGGACAATACTGGTGCACTAGAGAAGATGCAGGATGAGATGGATATTATTAAGGTTGTTGGTTTAGACTTAAAAATGGAGGGGTTTATGGAAGTATTTACAAGCACAACCATATTGCGGATTGGTGCAAGAAAAGGAAGTACAAGAGAGAGCAGAAGAATGTACTGGGTATGGTGGCAAATAGTTAGAACCTGGAACATTTCAGAAATGGTGGTAGTCATATGATGAATATGGTATCGAACTGGAAGCAACATTTGGAGTGGGGTGAAGGTGAAGATGAGGATTAGCTATTTCAATTTTCCTTTTTATCAAATTAAAAAAAGTATATCGGAATATGTGGAAATAGATAGTATCATAATATGTGACAATACAGCCTCTATATGCAAGGCCTAGTCTAACCATCCACTTGTCATTTTTTTAATTTATCCTCAATAGGTTTCTCTGCCATGTATTTATGTCAATCCTCATTTTCTGTTTTATGCACGACTTCATTTCAACTCCATTCATCTCACTAACATTTTGTCCATTAATACCCAAATACATGGTGCAGTAAAGCATAGTCCAATAATAGAAATAGTAACACAATACATATTAATTGAACTCTTCAAAGAAAAATTAAACTCTTACAATAATTTTTCTTGTTATGCTTTAAATCACTCAAAGTATATTATCACAAGATTAATTTAATCTTATGCATTTTAAGCTAGTTTTTTTGGTCCATTTCCTATACATTCAGAGGTGTACCCTATTAGTTAAACTCCAATAGAAAGGAGAGGAAAAATCTTCAAAATTTCTTACTAAACAGGTCAAAAAGATCATACACCCAAGGGGTCTTTTAAACAGTATATCAAAACGGACATTTGAGGAGTTATACAAAACATAAAGCGTCAATGGAATTCTCTCATAATTTTATATCGTATATGCACATACCATGAGATGGTGGGCCATCTTTTCCATTTCATTAGTTCTATTAAAAGCTTCGTTTACATTTTCTTCATTTCTTCCTTTCCTTTTCTTTTTTGGGGGTAAGGGTGGGGATGGGGATGGGGGCTCCAGGGATTCGTTAAGCCCAGGTAATTAAAATTCAAAGCATACCACGGAAGCATGATATATTTTTAAATGATAATCTAAACTTACCTCACTACAACAGTAGTCTCTTCAAAACCTGAGGGCTTTAAGCTATAATGATCCTCTGACAACTTCTGGTCCTTCTCGAAACAGTCTTCCAACCATTGAGAGCCAACAACATGCAACCTTCTACTATGTAATAGATGCCTATCTGTCAGTGAGAAACTGATAAACAAAATGGAAAGTGATTATTATTTATATAAATCCATGACTGATCATAATTAATGTTTAATCTTGATTAATCAATTAAGTTAATCATCATGTACAAAAAAGGAACATTGCCAGGGGCATATTTCCTTTCAATTGTGAAAATTATTGTAACAGAATAACTTACACGGACGTGCATAACATAAGATGGGTAACTCAGAGATAATGCACAGAGAAAGACTAGAATAGTTGGTTTACTGAAATTCATTCCAGCAATTATGTTCCAGAGAACTAGCTGTAGTACAATATAATCTAGCTGGGTAGAGCCAACTCTGATCCTTAATGTATATAGATCGACAATACTCCGTATAGGAAGAGTTAATAAACAGTTTGATTTATAAAATTGATAGAAACGAATGGTGGATGGTACTCTTATGTCCATTGGAATGTGTGGTTGAAAATGAAGTTTGACTATTTATAAATGATTTATATATGAGTTTGCCAAACAGAGGCTAAATTTAATGAGAAGGGGACATAAAGCTCAAGATGGAAAAGAAATCAAAACATTTAAGGGCCATGTCAAGAAGTTCACATCAAAGTTTTCAACTGGAATTTTAAATTCATTTCCACAGGTAATTCAAAATGACCAAAAAATTGTGGTCCTAAGTTTATCATATGACAAATTATTGCTTACCTACTCAACAGAGTATCGAAATCCACATTGAGTTCCGGAAAAGACATAATTACTACATGAGAACTATGAGACAGATTGTCGGCAACAATGCCACCGCTCATGGAAACTTCAATCTTCATCCTCCTCATTGCAAGTTCCAATAGAACTTTCCAATCCATATTTTTTCTATCATGCATGGACAACAAATATCAAATTCTAACTCCAAGATTATGATGTCCAACAAAGTAAGAGCATGGATCCTAGTCAAGTAAAAAAGAAACAATCATCTTACAAAAATTGCTCTGGAATGTAGAAGTAAATGCAGTAACCATGAAAGCGAGCCCATTTCTCCTCTGGGCAGTACTTCTTCTTGTAGTGAACAATTGCTTTAGTATCTTCCTTCCAGTCAATGTTGCTTAAGAGCTGCAAAGCACAATAAAAATAAATAAATGCATGACCAAGGAAGGTTCCATACACTTGTTTCCCTTTTTCCAAGTCACAGTTTAAAAACAAAGTAGCCACTCTATCAGTTTTCACATAGAGGAATTTGGAGTAATCACTAAATGGTCCGAAATCACTCTACCTGTTTGAAGTCGGCCATATTGACATCCCAGTAGTAGGAATCAGAAAATTCATCAATATCTTCTTCCAATTTTTTCTTTGATGAGTTGGAAAGAAAAAGAAAGTACCTTCAAGAAGGCAACAGGAACAGAATGGGAGTAAAAACAAAAAAAGTTTCAGATATAGAAGTGATTAAGAAGCATAATAACAGAAGACTAACTTTGGATGTAAAGGAAGAAGCTTCTTCTGCGAACAACAATCAAATAACCAAGAGTAATGAATAACATCTCCTTGGTGTTTAGCTGCCTGAAACTTGAGACCTGTTAAAAATTTGGGTACCACAGCTAAGTTCCATGGGGAACATGTTCGAGTGTGTTTGAATTTGAGAAAATGCAAGTTCGAGTCTGCGTGGGTATAAAAGTGAGGGGGGAGGGGGGCGGGGGCACAAGACAAGAGAGGGAAAGAGAGACCTTTACTCTCAGCTGCAATACAATGAGTAACCGAATTATTCAAATTCATTGAAAAAGTACCACCATTTTCAACCACCATTTTGTGCAAGGAATCAACGGAAATGGATGAAGGTACATTTACAAAGTCTATACATGTCAAGGAAGATCAGATGATACAATTGTCAAGAGAAACTCAAGTATCAAAATCTACAGAGCATTTATGGCATGCAGCCAATACGCTGCCTGATGTTGGGCATTCTCATGCATAAGACCCCCCCCCCCCCCCCCCCTCCGT